TAAACTAACACGAGTCTCATTAAGTGTCCAGTTTAAGGGTATTACACAGAAACATACCAATGGAACATGAATCAAATATGCACTTTTATTTATTTACAATAAACTCATAAAGTACATCATTCTGATTGAAGCTAAGGGCATACAAAACTGTCTAACAGCTCCATGAAAAGGGACTTCAGCCAAACAATCTCACTACATGCAGAAGACATAGCTCTATACTTGGCTTCAGTAGAAGACTTAGAGACAGTTTTCTGTTTCTTGCACTTCTAGGAGATGAGAGAGTCACCCATGAAAACGCACCACCCAGTAGTGGATCGATGAGTGTCAAGGCAACCAGCCCAATCGACATCAACATAAACCCTCAACTGTATAGATGATGAGGAAGAGAAAAACAGTCCCTAAGAGGTTGTGTCTCTAACATAATGGATGATGCGGCGAACAATAGTCATATGAGGTTGCCACGGGGTAGAGACAAATTGACTGACGACCTGAACAACATGTGAAATATCAGGCCTGGTGATAGTAAAATAGATCAAAGAGCCAACAAGCCGACGGTTCTAGGTAGCATCAGGAAGGATGAGGCCTTCGAATTTAGATAGCTTGACATTCAGCTCCAGGGGGTATCAACATGTTTCTCATAAGTGATTCCAACTAATTTGACGAGATCGGAGGCGTATTTTTGTTGACAAATAAAATACCCTCGACTGCTACAATGAACCTCCAAACCCAAGAAGTAAGAGGACCCAGGTCCTTCATGTGAAATGAGTTATTAAGTAAGGACTTCAGCTCACAAATGCCATCATGATCATCCCTAGTTAAAGCATGCCATCAATATACAATAGGAGGATAGTGATACCTTGGGGTCTTCTCTTAACAAAGAGGGAGTAGTCAGAGGAACTTTGATTATACCCAGTTGCAACAACATCCCGGAAGCGCTCAAACCAAGCCCTGGGTTCTTGCTTCAGACCATATAGAGACTTCTTTAGGCGACAGACACGTGAAGGATCATTACAATATCCAAGCAGAGGTTTCATGTAGACTGTCTCCTTCAGTTCACCATGAAGAAAAGCATTCTTCACATCTAATTAATAAATAGTCCAAGAATAAACAACATATATGGCCATAAGAGTCCGAACTGTGGTGATCTTAGCAATCGGGGCAAATGTTTCTTCATAATCAATCCCATATTTCTGACTGTATCCTTGGGCAACTAACTGAGCCTTATAATGCTCGAGGGAACCATTTGACTTCAGTTTGATCATATAGACCCAACGGCTTCCAACAATAGAAGTATCTGGAGGAGTTGGCACAAGATCCCAAGTATCATTCTCATGGAGGGCTTGAATTTCAGCATCCATGGCTTCTTTCCACTAAGAACTTCTAATGGATTGCTGATAAGACTTAGGGATATCTATGGAAGAAAGTATAACAAAAAAGGAACTATGGTTTGAAGGAAAACCATAGTGGTCAGGTGGTCGAGAAATATGAGTAGAATGACGAAGTGGAATAACTGAACTTGGGTCAAGGTATCACTTACAGAGGATATCAGAGATGGATGCTCTGGACCGAGTGGAATGGGGGGGTTGTAGGCGCAGGAGCCAAGACATGTAGCCACTTGCGAGTGAAGACGAGAAAATCTCTCTCAGTTGAGGAAGTAGTAGTGTCATTTGAATCAAAGTCTTGTAAAATAGAGATGGAAGGAGTGGGCAATCTAGCAACCCCAACAAAGAAGGAGATATGTTCAAAAAATACAACATTCCGGGAAATCCAAATACAACGAATATCAGGATCATAGCACAAAAATATTTTGTGGTTAGGACTATATCCCACGAAGGCACACATAGCAGACTGAACAGTTAATTTAGATCGTTCACGAACAGGAAGATGAACAAAATAAAGACAACCAAAAACATGAAGACTAGAGAAATCTGGGGGATGACCAAAAAGTTTTTGGAAGGGAGAAGTGTTACCTAGAACAGATGAGGGAAGAAAATTGATCAAATACACGGCTGTACTGGCTGCTTCTACCCAAAATGAAGTTGGAGTATGAGACTCCTGTAGTAATGTCTGTACAACACCGAGAATATGTCCATTCTTCCGTTTAGCCACACCATTCTGTTGTGGAGTGTCTGAGTAGTTGCGCTGAGATTGAATTCCATAACTCCTTAAGTATGCCAGAAAGTCTCCATCTCTATATTCTCCCCCTGAATCTGAGCGGAGGATAGTCACATTGCACTTGAATTGATTTTGCACCATAGTATGAAACAATTTAAATGCACCAAAGACTTTTGATTTGTGCCGTAGAAAATAAATCCAAGTATATCTGGTACAATCATCTATAAATAATATGAAATATCCGTATCCCAATCGTAAGGTAATAGAAGCAGACCAAACATCACTATGTATTATTTCAAAAGGTTTAGTGGCATGTTCAGATGTATGAAGAAATGGTAAAACATGACTTTTACTCAAACAACATGTAGTGCAAGAAACATCAAAAGTATGAATAGGAGGAATTTTATTCTTAATCAAACCTGAGTCAAACAAAAATTTTAATTTTGGGGAATATGGATGACCCAATCGTTTATGCCATAAATCTTAAATGTTATTTCTATAACTCAACTGAGAATCAAACAAAGAAGAACTAAGTAAAGCTGAGGATACCCCTGATTGAGAATTCTCGAACTCCAGCGCAAATAGATGGCCTAGCCTACGCCCCTTCCCTTTCACCTTCCCAGTGTACCGGTCTTGTATCAAGCAACCATCATGAGAAAAGGTGAGAACATTTCCTTCATCAACAAGTTGGCCAACAGAAATCAGATTAGTAGTAAGGTTGGGTACTAAGAGGGTTTTGGAGAGAGGGAAGGATCTGGTTGGTGACAGTTGAAGGGACAGACCATTGCTACCAATGATGTCTAACTTTTCACCATTGGCAATAATAATATGTTTATGGTGAATTTCAGTGGAAGGATTTGAGTGATTGAGGTAGGCTCCTGTCATATGGTTGGTGGCACTTGAATCTATAATCCAAGCATGTGAAGGGGAAGAACAATATGCAGAGACCTTACCAGACAAGCCAATAGCAGAGAAAGCAGAGGAAATAGTAGAAGATACCAATTGCTGAACCTTTTCTTCATCCATGACACCTGTTGAATCACCTTTCACTGAAGAATCATCCTTGGTGGATACAATGTCTATTGCTTATCCATTTGTTGCCTGATAGGCTTGAGGCTGAGTCTTTTTCTGAGAACCCTTAGCTGGTCGGACTAGACAATCTAGAATGATGTGACCATGTTGCTTGCAATAGGTACACACATTCTTCTTCTTACAATGAGATGCAATGTGTCCAAAATCCTTACACTCATAACACTGGGTTTTGGAGAAGTCCTTGGAGGTTGGCTTCTTACCCCTATGAGCAACAAAGGCTGTTTCAGCCCCAACTTCAGCCATCTTCCCATCAAACCCGGCTGCAATGAGAAGTCTAGTCTCTTCCCTCAGAAGTTCCCCTAAAACATAATCTATATCTGGAAGTATTCCCCTACTCAGAATGTTGGACCCAAATATCTCATATTTAGGTCTAACCTCATTAAGAACTGAGTCACCTTTCTCTTCTCAAAGTGCTTCTAAAGATATTTCACACTCTACTAGATCCAAGGGTTCAATGTGAACAATCTCATATTCAGCCCATAAATCAAGAAAACTAGAATAATATTCCTATATCCTCCTATCTCTTTAGCTATAGAAAAATATTTCTGATTCTATCTGATACTGTTTAGATACGTTGGACTGTTGATAAACTTTTTCCAAATACATGTACATCTCCATAGGCTGTTTTCTTTCTCCTCATAGCTACAAATATATGATAATAAATAGAACTCAGAATCCAAGAAACAAGCTTACCATTGTCCAACTTCCATTGTTGTAAAGCCTTGGCCTCAGTCTCAGCTGGTTTAGTGACCGTTCCATTCAGATATCCTTCTAAACTTTCCCTTCAACTAAAAGTCAAAATGGAACTTCCACATCCCATAGTTCTGTCCGTTCATCTTCACAAGAATGATATCACCTCTGTTTGAAGCCATTACAGCAAGAAAGTAGCACAAAATAGGGTTCCACTGAAGTTTAAAGGAACTAAACTGAAGTAAAACTTGATAAAAAACGAGTGAAATAAGCTGTAAACGAATCCAAGAGACTCAAAAACTGAGAAAGAAACCCCTTACTTTCCCCCAGAGATTGTTCAAGATCCAATAGAAAAAGAAAACTGAACACACAATCCAGAAAAGGAAAGTCTGGGCGCAGCCGCCTAGAAGAGAAGTCCAGACCTCTCTCAAAACTTCACGGATCTATGGATGTCAAACGAAAGAGATCCAATAAAATCTCTCTCTCTGGATGCGCAGAAAACAGAAAAGTGGTTCTTGGAAAGATCAAAACAGTCTAGGGCCAATTGGTAGAGATGCAGTTCTCAATGGATCAAGAGAACAAGGTGGATCAGAGAGAAAAAAAGATCAAAGAGCAGCCTGCTCTGATACCATGTGAACCGAATTGAGAGCAAGAAAAAAACAGAATTTAGGGGTGTCAAGAATAGTTGACCCCCACCCCAAAGAGTCTCTTTTATACTAAAGAGATAAAATATATGTACAGTTACAAGAATGCCCTTACAGGGCTGAAAGATAAAAAGAACAAATAAAATAATAAGTACGATACTGTACAACAAGGACTACTCTAATAGTGTACATCAAGATATATCTTCACAGTCATAATTCAACTTGAAATGTGACATGAGCCATAAAAATTTGTTGGCTTGTATATCCTAGAATAACTAACACTCTGGTAGTTGATTCATAAGTTGTAACTTATTGACTTTGTTAATATCTATGGATATGTTGCAATGATATTATGATTTTTTTTTTCTGAATTTGCTTATGACTACTGCACATATTGCTTTTGTCAAATGGGGCATATCCTTTGCGAAAAGACAGTGGTATTTGATATTTGCCATGATTGTCGAAGAAAGAACAAAACTACTTTGTCAATATGATTTAGACCAATGTTGTAAAATGCTGAAGCATGAGGCAAGGCATTTCACTCGAATAACATGTGAGGTGTACCATCATGAACAGGATAATATTAATAAATGAGTAATCATGAGTTAAATAAATTGAAGTTAGGGGTATTAATGTCCTTTCTTTTATGTTTATATTTGTTTATGTTCTGTCCAAACTTCATAAGGGCAAAACTGTCATTCTTTCCCCTTGATCTCTTCTGCTCTCTATTGTTCACAGCACACTTGCATAGCTAATTAACCATTAGAACAATATATACATAAGTTGTTCTCTTATTTTATTTTAGACCTTTTATGTTTTATTGGGCCAACTAGGTACACTAATCCTGCTGGAATTAAGATCTGTGAATTGCTTACAGCTAAATTTCAACATTTTGTTTTGATTTTTTAAAATTTTCATAAGAATATTTGACATGTTCATGAAGCTTAGGCCTCAGACTTGAGTTGTTGAAAAGGTGTCTGCCTCAAAAAAAAAAAAACCTCAAAAGTGTGCCTGTTTTAGTAGATGAATAATTAAATGAAATATATCGAGTGTTCTTTTTTCTTTGAGTTTTACTGTGTTAGTGGTGCTAAATTACACTAATACTATTGGACTAGGAATGAAAGAAAAATAAACTGAATTTCAACATTTTATTTTGAATTTGATATACATTGTTTGACAAGAATATTCGAAATGTTCATGAAGCCCATGCCTTGGACTTGAAGTGTGAAGAGGGTCTGAATCTCACGTGAGGATTAAGCCTCATCTCATTCATGTCTCCTTCATGCTTCATGAGCAATTGAACATGTTGGACTTCATACTTGCACCTTGGGCACAGGGAACTTCAGCTATTCCCTCCTTGAGGTGTGTTTTGAGGTTCATACCTCAAATGTCTCTGGAAACACTGATATAGACATCTTCCAGTTTGTTCCTTTTTGTCATTCATTTCAACAGAAAAACTGAAATTTGCCATAAAAGTATAGTTCAGAGTTGTGCTGTTGTGCTTAACATTTTGTAGCAGTAAGCTGCATGCAGTAAAGATATTTGTAATGGTGGGTTTTCTGGTTTTTCTTGTTCAGAACTCTTGCTGTTTCCATGGAGGAATCTAACAGACTAAATATGTCATTAGTGTCTATATTTGTCATAAAAATACAGTGTGGCGTTCTGCTATTATGCTTAACATTTTGTGGCAGTAGCTGCAGTAAAGGCATTATTGTTTTGTAATGGTGGGCTATCTGGACTTTCTTGTTCAAAAATCTTGTTGTTTCCATGGAGGAATCTAACAAACTAAATATTTGTCATAAAAATATAGTATGGAGGTGTGCTATTATGCTTAACATTTTGTAGCAGTAGCTGAATGTAGTAAAGGCATTATTGTTTTGTACCGGTGGGTTATCCAGATTTTCTTGTTCAGAACTCTTTCTGTTTCCACTGAGGAATCTAACAAACTAAATCTGTCATTGGTGTCTATAATATCCTTACAAATCTTGAAATATCATATGAATTCTTCAAGTTAAATAAGCCAGTCATGTCTCAACTTGGATTTCCAATTTGCTCCTTTCCTTCAGCATTAGAGATGTTTCCAATTTAACAGAATAAATGTTCCCTAGGTTTCCATGTATCTTGGGACTGAATTCTGAGATATTTCTTGCTAGAAAATTCTTGAGGACAAGTTCTATAAGAAGGAATTAAGCTTTACATGCATTGCAGGTTATGAACAGAACTGTGCAGAGCAGCCTTCACAACTTTGCCTTGATAACAAGATTGATCTTGGTTCACTGAGGGCCAACACTGAAGAGATTGCCATGGTTGGGCTAGATGCAATTGAGCGAGCAAATTCTACCCTTGAAGATTTTGTGAGCTATTCCTTGTCTTATAGTAGTGATGTTTTTGTTAATTATGTGTGAAGTGTGACAAGAGGGAAGAAATAGTACAACCATCTACAGCCCAGCTGCCCAGGGAGGGGATAAGACCTAGAAGAACTCTAGATAGATAAGAAAAAACAAAAAAGAGATGTGACTGACCCTAAACATTTGTAGTAGCACATAAAACAAAAAATAGAACATAAACTAAGAGAACAACAAAGGAAGGATTCTTTTATGTTTTCTTCCAATCAATTATGTGTTGATGTTAAGTTGCCACAAACAAAGAGGCCAGACCAGATGCCCATCCAGACTTTCCTTTTATGTTTTTTTTTTTTTTTTTGAATTGTAAGGTAAAGTTTTTCATTAATAACAAAAGGGCAGATTACAAAAGGTCCCTGTACAATGAGAGACTGTACGGCAGAAATAGACAGAAAAACTCAGAAAAGCCAGCCTCTGAAAAACAACCCAACAAAAAAACTATGATCTTCTTACAAAAAGGAAATCAGGCTCAAAAAAAGAACAAGTTTGACTGTTTTTGAAGAGTGGATGGTTTGTCAGCCATGAAAACACCATCCCCATAATCCTGTTGAGCACCTCTAATTTTGATTTCTTCCCTCAAAAATTCTCAAATTTCTATCACCCCATACTACCCAGAAAACAGCAGCGGGGAGGATACTCCATGCTACTTTTCCAGCCTTGCTGAGGCCTCCTAGGAACCAAGCCTCTAGGAAGCCCTTCACATCATTTGGGAAACATATTAACCCCAAAAGTCTCTAGCAGTCTTGTCCAAACCCAGTAAGTGAAGTCACAGTGCAGTAATAAATGACTAATACTTTACACATTTCCATTACAGAATGTGCATTCCAGATCTGTCACTTCTAAAACTCTTCTAGATAAATTCTCCTTGGTTAAAATCTTATCTAGCACGCAGACCAAACAAAAAAAGCTAGTTTTGAAGGAACAGGCTTGATCTAGATCCTGTTGCTCGGAAAGTGAGAGGTCTCTTCCCTTGACAGGTAGTTAAAAAAGGCCTTTAATGAAAAAGAGCCTGACTTCTCAAACAACCATTTTCTTTTGTCCTCCCCTGAACCCAGGACCTTGGCCATCATACAAAATCTGCAACAGGTTGACTAGAGACTCCACTTCCCAGTCATTCAAGTTCCTCCTGAACAGAGTGTTCCATGTAACAAAACCATTTTGCCTCTCTATATAGTCAGCCACGGAAGCATCCTTATTTAAAGCTATCTCAAACAGATTAGTAAATAAGGTCGATAGAGGGCCCTCACTGCACCAGTAATCCTTCCAAAACAGCTCCCTGTGACCATTTCCCACTCCATATTTAATGCCCTTCAAGAACTGAGGATTAATTTTCTGGATAGCCTTCCAAACTGAACAGCCACAAGGGGATCTTGCCTCTTCTGTTTCCCACTCCCTGCTGCTATAGCCATACTTTGCCACAACTAATCTTCTCCATAGGTTGTCAGAGTGCTCGTTGAATCTCCACAGCCATTTCCCTAGCAAGGCTGAGTTGACATCTTTCACTGATCTTATCCCTAAACCTCCTTGTTCCCTGGGTGAGCAGAGTCTCTTCCAGTTTACCAAATGACACTTAGAGTCCTCCTTCCAACCCCTCCACAGGAAATCTCTTGTCCTTTTTTCTATATCTGCAGCCCATTTAGCTGGAATTAAAATAAAGACAAATAGTAGACAGGGAGGGAAGATAAGGCACTCTTAATTAAGGTGACTTTCCCCCCTTTTGACAAGTACTTGGATTTCCAAGAGGCCAGTTTCCTATCAACCTTTCTCAATAATAGGTTCCCAAATGGTTTTAGATTTACAGCTTTCACCCAAAGGCGTACCCAGGTATTTTGAAGGGAGTTTACCCACTTTACATCCTCAATCATCCGCCCAAGAATCCAGGTTTTCCACTTCCCCAACTGCCAATATCTCACTCTTTTGGATGTTGATGTGTAAGCCTGAAACCACCTCTCGAAAAATTGTTCCCAAGATGCATCACAGAAAAAGAGTGTGTCATCTGCAAATTGCAGAAGAGGAACCTCTACTTCCCCATTCCCTACATGGAAGCCTTCCAGCAATCCTCCCTCCCTTGCTCTCTCTACCATTCTGAAGAGGGCTTCTGTTACACATGTAAATAAGAGAGGGGAGAGGGGATCTCCCTGTTGAAGACCCCTAGTGCTTCCAAAATGCCCAAATGAGGTTCCATTTATGAGAACCAAAAATGAGGAAGAAGAAAGACATACTTTTATCCAATTTCTCCATTTTACCCCAAAATTCATCCTCCTCAACATATAATCAAGGAAATTCCAATTTACATGGTCATGCCTTCTCCATGTCTACTTTACATAACAGTCCCACACAACCACTTTTCTTCCTTGAATCTATTAATTCATTTGCTATGAGGACTCCATCAACTATTAGTCTTTCCCCCACGAAAGCACCTTGGGTTTCAGCAATCAAGCTTGAAATCACTTTTGCCATCCCATTAGCCAAGAGCTTAGTTACTGCTTAAGAGGCTGATTGGTCTGAAATCATTTAACTTTACTGCACCTTTCTTCTTTGGAATTAGGGTGATGAAAGTGTGATTAAGACTTCTTTCGAGAGCAACTCTTTCATGGAATTCCTTAATCACCTCCATTACATCTTGTTCCATGAAACCCCAGCACTTCTTATAGAATAAGAGTGTGAAACCATCAGGCCCCGGGGCCTTATCACCCTCCAACCCTTTTACCACCTCCCACACTTCTTCCTCTGAAAAGGGCTTCTCCAAGTCTCTAGCTTCCTCCGCTGAAAGGGACTCAAACTGTATCCCATCCAGCACTTTCTTTTTATGTTTGCAAAATAAAGACTGTAAAGTAAATGTTCTATATAATTTCTTTATTGCATTTTTGTAGTCTATATTAGCTTTATGATTGTATCATTATCTTAAATTTAGAAAATATCTTTTTATGCTCAACTAGGCAATGCTTGAGAACTAAGTAGTCTTTGACTAGAGAAGCCAAAATTACTAGTCATTGTCTTACCCCATTGACAATACTCTTTTGTCCTATATCAGATTGTACTTGATTTGCATCATTCATGAATATTTCAAAAAAAATTTGTTTCTTTCACTTAGGTGTGGCTTGGATCTTGCATTGCAAGATAGAATGTATTATTATTATTTTTTGGTAAATAAGATTGAATGTATTATTAATCATCTTGCAAAATTGAAGTAACAATCCATTTTCTCATAATTTGCTACATGTCCCATGGATGTGTTGGTGAGTGGCTTGATTGCTGCATTGAACGCAAATTCCAATGATTTGATCAGTTATGTATTATCAACAAATCATAATTTCAATATGATGCAAAATGCTCAAAATTCCATCTGAGTTATTTGTTATGAGTTAATCTATGTTTCAATGGCTCCAAACAATATTTTGACAAATGACCCCAAATTCCAAAACAATATTTTGACAATAAGTGAAGTAAATAAGAATTATTGTTAAACATCTAATAAAATTGAGCTACAACCTGAGAACCTTTTCTTTTGACGAAAAAGAATTGATTTGACAACTTCAGCCAAATGTCTGGGGTTCCTTGGAGTGGTGACTATACCCCAATTACCCAGTGTTGTTAGGGATGCAAACGGATCGGATCAGATTTGAACCGGGGTATATCTGATCCGATCTGAAGATCAATTGGTCTCACAAATGTTGATTTGAATCTGAATCCATTAAGGATGTCAGTATCTGAATCTTATCTAATCCGATTTAATTTCTGAAAAAATTAATAAATTATTAGAAGGAAAAAAACATAATAGTTTGTATAAAGAAAAACAAAAAAAATACTTGTATCTTTTTCAACTATTTTCATCATATATATACATGTCTTTTTATAAAAGGAAAAATAATATAATAATTTACAAAAATGCAATATAAACATATTTATATATAAATAAATAACATATTGTATTCTTTCGGACTGGATAGGGGGTGAACTGAATCCAATCCAATTTTTATTCAGATCCTATTGTTCAATATGATCCAATCTGTAAACCCAACAGGGGGATATCCGTATCTGACAAAATAGAATCAGGTTCGAATTTGGATCAGATCACGATCCAATCCATTTGACCCCTAGGTGTTGTCAACCTTGTTGTATGGAGTCTTCCTCAATACAGATAGCTTCATTCACCATTTATGCTTTTGTTATTTCCTTGTACTCTGTACAAGCAATTTTTTCTAGAGGTTTTATATGTGATTCCTTTTTTGTCTCTTGTAAGCAAAATTTTGGATATAATAACAGGATATGGTTGTATTTCTTATCTTGGTTTGAAAAGCTTTAATGTTGCTTCAGTAATTTAATTACTGCATGACCAATTAGCAGTGCAGGTCTTATTTTATGTTTCATGAAATGGATGTGAGCAGACCAAGATCAATATTCAGATACCTTCCTGTCCTTTCGTTTACGGAAAGCTATATTTATCAGGTAAGAGGATCTAAACTTGTAATAGTCAGCAATCACTTCTTGTTAGGCACTAAATAACTTTTATAGCCTGAAGTTGTGTAGTGGTCCTAGAGCTTTAATCTTGCAACTTATGATGTTTGAGCCATGTGAAATACACATGGTTTAAATGCTATGCATTTTTCATATTTGATACTGCAATGTGCAAAGTCGATAAAAGAGAAGGTTGTAATCTTCAAGAAATCTGGCCTGAGTTATCAGTGTCCAGGCTTTATTTTATTTTATTTTAGTATCTTCTATTTCTTAATTGTCTCGTCTTTTTCTTGATACAGCTTGACAGTTTTAATGAGAAAATTTTGCATTCTTCTCCAGAGGGACTTGTAGATATGGAAGGAGGATCCAAACACCTTAGTAATATTTACAAGGTAGTAACATTGAGAGCTCCACAAGTATATGTTATAATATATTTTTTCTCTAACTGAATGCTAGCTCTACCATTTCTAAGATGCAGGAAAGGAAGCAGGGGATCACAAATAGCTTGCTGGAAAATTTTATAATTGATCCATTCAGACCCCTTGTTCTTCTAATTGAGCAGCATGGACTTTTGACAGAGAGGTCTTTTGTTTTAATGCCCACATCCCTCTTTGGCAGGAAAGATGCATTCTTTTGAAACATTTGAAGATATGACAATGTTATTTTTGTTTTACCTGAAGGTTTCAGGATAAGAGCAGAGCTCAATTGTGGAAAAGAGTATTGGGCACTGGAGAGGAAGCTCTGTCATGCACTTCTAGGCAGGGAGGAGGTACCTGTGTCTTCTTGTATTTTCATTTATTTTACTGCTAAGATTGCTTGATGAAGTTATTGAAATAAACATGTTTGTTTTCTATTTTCTTCCTTTTTCTTGTTTAGAAGAAAACTACTTGGCGTTGTATGTGTGCACAGAGGATCTATACTAGAAAACAGAGAATCTATGTAATTTCTACAGGCTGGAATTACACAAACTTAATACCCAACTTATCTGCATTTTATTTTCAGACAAAATGTCAGTTAAATGTGCTGCTCTCCTGCTTTCGATTTGTTGATTGTGCATTTAGAGTACTGAATTCAAGTAGCCACATCTCAAACAATATGGTGTTGGTTTGCATTGAGAGTACTTCGTAGTTTAATTAACCTTAAAAAGATATTGTATCAATGCCTCAATGGGTCCTTGTTTCAAATCATCTGTTTGATTGTTTTTTTTTTCTGGTTTTTGTGAGATGATGTTTCTATCTCACCTTTCCCAAGATCCAGATAATGGGAGCCAACATTAGGTAATGACCTTTTATCCATATGACTTTGAACTGAAAGAAAATTTCAGTTCATTGATTTAGTATGAGATGTAAGTGTTTTTTTTTTTTTAATTTATAATGAAAAATATTTCATGAATATATGGTAATAAAAGGTCATTAGGTCCTGGTAATCTGGGGTCTTGGGAGGCCTTAACTGGATATGGAACTTAACCCCCAACTCATAAAGTGGCTGCTCTCAGACTGAAATCCAAGTTTTCATGCTTGTCATCTCGGAGTTTTTATCATTGCATAGATATTGAATATTTTAATGTATTCGTGTATAAAGAAGATGAGAAAGCATCATCAAAAGAAAAAAAAAGAAATAAAGAGATGCAAAAGTGACAGAAAATTGATCATATTCACCATCTCTTTCCAATTCCTTTTGAAACTGATCCTGCTCTTATCTTGCAACCTTTTAGGAGTAAGTGTTAGTGTAGGGGTATTTCTGTCTTTATACTTATGTTGAG